TTTTGTTTTCTTTTGCTGCCCCAAATTCTTCATCTTTGACTTGTATTTTTTGTTTTCTTCATCTTCTTTTTCCTCATATTTTCATTCTTCTTCTTCATCGTCTTTGACTTGTACTTTTTTTATTCTTCTTTCTCTTATATATATTTTAATTTTCTTATTCCTCACCCTTCTCTTTCATATTCATCATTATCTTTGACTTCTTCTTCATCATCTTTGTATTCTCTCAGTTCTTCTTTTTTTTTTTTTTTTTTATTAGCCTTATTTATTCTCTACTTCTTATTCCTCTTTGGTCTTCATCAAACTCTTCTTCTTCTGGTTTTTCTTCATCTATTTCTCATCTTTACATAATTTGCTCCTTCTTTTACTTTGGTTTCTTCATCTTTCTTTTTTTTCTTCCGGTTTCCTTCTTTAACTCCAACATCTTTTTTTATTATCCTTATTCTTCTTTACTGTTTCATGTTCTCATTTGCTTCTTATTCTCCATGGGTTTATTCAAATTCATCTTTTTTTGAGTTCTTATCATCAACTACATCTTCTTCTTCTTTATACTTCTACTTCAAAGTTGTAAGAATTAGAGGTGAATAAAAAAAAGAGCAGTAGATATGATTTATCAGGAAAAAATATATGTACGTCTTTTATAACAATAAATAACAATTATGAATGGGTAAAAATAAAAACAATACATAAATTATTAATTAGCAAAACCTAATTAGAAATCTGTTTAATCGTTTCTTTTTATTGATGATTATTAAATTTAGAAAGTACATTAGAAAAAATAATTAAAATCCAAACACAATGAAAAAATCTAAGAAGTTGTTAAAATAAGAGAATTAAGGAAAAAAAAAATCTAAGACAATGCAAAGAATTGACGAAACTTATACTAAAAAACATTGAATGAATCTCCAAACACAAAAAGGATTTATCATAGAACATGCATGTAAAAAAGCAGTGTACATCATTCGAAGAGAGGAGTGGAAATCCATTGACCTGCCTCATAAAAAGCTTCGATATACTCAGTATCATCGTGAATTAAACCCAAATCATAACATGCATCTTTGAAAGTAGGGTGGACAACATCATTAATTGTTTTTATATTCATATAAAAACATGGATCGCGAACGATATGCAATGAAACCCTCAAGAGTAGGTTTCACCAGTGTTGGGTTACATTTGGCTATAATACTCGGTCTGGAGTTGCCGCAAAGACGAGGATGCCATTGACATTTTTATGATCCCAAACCCAATGGATCGAAAATTCAGAATACATATACGATATGGCTTTAGGATAGTCATAATTACACTTCAACCAACCTGTAAATTTATAGTTGTAAACATCGGCAGAAAAATGTTCATATTCTGTAAAAACGATTTAAGATGGAGGCAGGTGATATGGCAAAATCTGGGATCACAGAGGGGACGATTGCTAGTCGCTTCAGAAAATTCATAAAAATTTTGAAGGAAAGAACTATTAGGCAATAAATTTACATAAGAAGAACGTCTTGAAGCAGAAAAAAACATTTAAAGCACGAATTAAAATTAAAAAACATAATTTTTATTTACCTGACAATTCTATTGTAAGGCGAGAGATGAAATATTCAATCAGCGAAATATAAACTATAAGAAAATAGTAGGTTGTCATTACGAAAATGCATAAATAATAGTATATATCAATTTTTTGTAAAGACGTGGATGAATTTTTTTTTAAAATGCTAGACCTTAGAAGACGGATGTTGTATGTCAGAAATAATGAAAAACTGAGAGGAGTATATATAACACGATGGATACGCTAAGATTTAAGTTAGTACCGACTTTGATATCGGTGGCCCATAACCAAAATCAATGGCTAGGGCCGACTTCAAGATCGGTGGCCCACAAACAAAATCGCTGGCCCATAATCAAGGAAAAAAGCCATGTCACGAGTATTTACACGTAGGATTAATGATTGACCTATAAGCACTAATTAAAACACCACATAATTTTTTTAATAAATACATAGGACAATCAAGTAAAACCAACCACCTATAGTTATACGAATTATAAAGAAGAAGACGTCTAGAGAAAAAGAGATTAGATTCTACGAACAATAAAGAAAACAATCAAGGAAAACCAACAACTTATAGTTTTATGAATAATAAAGAAGAAGATTGCTAGAGAAAAAAAAAGCATTGACAATTACCAGAAGGCGATTTTTGTACGTCAAAAAAATATGTAGGCAATAGAGGTATATATAATGTGATAGATGCTTTAGGGTTTAGAGTTTCGAGAATCGGTGGTTATGATCGAGTACAAAATCGGTAGCCCAACTCATTGGCCCATTATCGAATGAGTCCATAAATAAATTTGTTGGCTCATTATCGTAGGAAAATCTATGTCACAGATATTTAACATATAGAATTAATGATTAAACAATAAAAACTAATTAAAATGACACATATTAATGACATGTAGGACGATCGCTATAGAGACGACACCTAAGATTTTTGACTTCGCAAATAATAGTATAGATTAAGAGCTGCTATTGAATTTTAAAAATATTTTAGAAATTAAATGGGTTAGTGTAAGACAACAAACACTAGAAAATACAGAGCATAAACTAAAATCTATACGTAGATTTTTTTTGGTCATCTGGTAGATTATTTGATATTTAAATTGTAACATCCGATTCCTGGTATATGTGAAAATGCTTATAAGAATTGATTTGGTTATCTATGTCAACAAAGTGCATTTATCTTTTCCGGTCAAGTGTGCTGAGAGAACTTCAAAGTTAAGCGTGCTGATGCTGGAGTAATCTCAGGATGGGTGACCTACCGGGAAGTACTCTGCAGTACCGTGCGAGTGAGGACAAAACACGGAGAAAGATCATGTGGTGATTGCAGGCACAGTAGACAAGTCTTACAAGCTTTCCAGATTAACGACTCCCGACCGTCGGACAGTGGTGGGCCAACGGGCCTAGAGAGGACGTTGGGCCAACGAACCTAGAGAGAGGACGTTGGGCCCACGGGCCTAGAGAGGGCGTTGGGCTCACTGGGATGGGCGGTTGGAGAGTTAGGATTGATATCGTCGATCCGCGTCTAGTTCCCAAAGGGAAGGTGGGATCGGGGTGTCACAAGTGATATCAGAGCCGACACTCGACCACGTGTGTGGAGTCATGTGGGCTCACACCGTCTAGGGTGAACGATCCTGGGGCAAGCACTGTGTGAGTAAAGGGAGAATTCGGGGACGAATTCCTTAGAAGTCGGGGAGAGTTGTAACATCCCGATTCCTGGTATATGTGAAAAGGCTTATAAGAATTGATTTGGCTACCTATGTCAACAAAGTGCACTTATCTTTTCCGGTCAAATGTGCTGAGAGAACTCCAGAGTTAAGCGTGCTGATCGTGGAGTAATCTCAGGATGGGTGACCTACCGAGAAGTACTCTGTGGTACCGTGCGAGTGAAGACAAAACACGGGGAAGGATCATGTGGTGATTGCAGGGACAGTAGACAAGTTTTACAAGCTTTCCGGATTAACGACTCCCGATTGTCGGACAGTGGTGGGCCAACGGGTCTAGAGAGGACGTTAGGCCAACGAGCTTAAAGAGAAGACGTTGGACCCACGAGCCTAGAGAGGACGTTGGGCTCACTGGAATGAGCGATTGGAGAATTAAGATTGATATCGTCGATTCGCGTTTGGTTTCCAAAAGAAAAGCGGAATCGGGGTGTCACATAAATATTGAAAATAAAAAATTGCAGATAAAGATAAAAATATATCTGGAGATATATATTCAGTTTTATTGTTCTTTTTTTTTAGTGCCTCTGCTCCCGATAAAATTCTGTCTTTACCGTTGTATTTTTAATTTTTAAATATCAAGATAATTTATCAGATGAAAAAAAAACGTACAGAATTTAGTTTATGCTGTGTAATTTCTAGTGTTTGCTGTCTTACACTAACCTATTTAATTTCAAAAATATTTATAAAACTAAATAGCAGCTCACATTTTCCCAATAATATGTTAGTTGGAATTGACTTTATAGAAACATTGTTAGAACTTGTACTTGATATTTAACAATAGAATACTTCCAAACCAAAATCTTTGAATAAGAATTTTGTAAGAATGGATGAATTTGATATACAAATCTTAATTTGACAAATATATATGAAAATAAATTTAATAATATTATTCTGTTTTACCAAAGTCCATGTTATGAATTTAATAAAGAAAGGTCCAAAGAAATTTTTTTTGTCCTACCAATTTTAATTTTATTGGGTCGGGCCTTTTTAAGATGACAAAAACTAACGGAAATTTAAACGAAAACTTTTATTTCTTTTGAAAATTCACATGGAAGATATATATATTGTGTAACATCAAGTCATGTTGAAATATACTTTTTTTTTTAATCCGAAAGATGTTCACTCTTTTTATGAAAAAAAAATTAAAAGAAAACAAGTTGAACCAAATTTGTTTAGAAAAAAACAGATTGATTCAGCTAACTTATCCAGACGGAAAATGTTATTTTCATAGTTGTAATTTAGTAATTAACTTCTGATATTAGTGTACATCTTGCAACCATGGAGTAAAAAGAGACGTACACACCTTTAAACAGCTACGTATACATATGTGAGATCATGTGTGTATTCATATATTCCTATATAATCTTTGTAGCTATATTACGTGTGCATAGATAGGTACATACATACATACATACATACATATCTATATGGATTATGAGTGCCAGTTCATGTTAGGAAGCTGAAACGCCTGTCTTAAAACCCCATGATCAGCTAAAGACGACGTCGTGTCAATGACTCCATTTCCATGAAACCCCGAGCTCTGAGGAATTTCACTAAGCATTGAGACAAAAGAGACATTGTAGTTTTCATTATTGAGATCACTCGTATGCTGAAACCTCTTGCTTGATAAGAAGGATCCGAATGAAGACGATCCCGAGGCCTCGTTACCCATCCGATACTGACCACATAATGAACGTTTGTCCGAAGAAACGACCATACCGTCGAAAAAGTGCTCTTCGTTGTTGTTGTTATTGTTATTGTTGTCGTTATTGTCTAACACAGACGTGGAAGAAGAATTAGCAGATGATTTTGAGAGCATTCCTTCCATGAGATCCTCTCTTAGTAATACTCTCTCCATTGTTGGTCTTTGTGAACTGTTCTTCTTATAGATCCTACATAGAACCCAATCGTCTAGCTGCAAAGATTTTTATTTTCAGTAAAATAATCAATACACAAAACTATTATAACTAAAGCGTACTAGCTACACTGAGTCAATCACTAGACTGTACTGATTTTTATCAAGAGAATATTTTGGTTTGAGCTTCCCACGTGAACAATGTTGTGGACTAACAAAAAGCAATAATAATGGCAAACGTCACCAATTTGAATCTAATCTACATATTTTGGTCTTTTAAACATTGTACTAACATACTTAGGGTTAATTTAGATTACTCATGGTTTGATTGTAGTATCTTAACAATTTATTTCTAACAACAGTATACATTTTTCATTTAATGATGGTGACCTTATTCAGTATCTTAGAATCTATATATACGAGACTTATATTTGATGACCAAACTTTTTTAGTAAATAAATGTTAAATTCGTTTCGCATACCCGTAGTGAGTTTTTCCTAGTCGTGGCTGAGTCAGGTGGCTTAGCCGTGGTGCTAAGGTTACCATCGGTGAGGCGGTATTCATGCATTATCCAATCTGTTTTAATCCCTTTAGGAGGTTTTCCGCCGTAGAACACAAGCGCTTTCTTGACTCCAACCTTGTGACTATTGCACGTAAATATCGGTTTATCAGTTCCGGTGGCTTTCCAGTAACCAGAAGTTGCTGCCCGATTTGGCCTTACCCCATTCGGATACTTCCGATCTCTAGGACTAAAGAAGTACCACTCTTGCTCTCCAAAACTCGTCTTGCCTAAACCATTCAAAATACCATTAATTAACCAAGTGATCATCACTATCTAAGAAATTAGTTAGATTTCAATGGTCATTATACATTTTAGTCCAAACACCAAACAAAAATTAGGAAATACATATAGACAAAAGTATATATACTTGGAAGCTCCCAAGGATCGAACTTGTACAGATCAATCTCGGCAATGATTGAGACCGGAAGTGGAATAGAAGAAGCTTTCTTCTTGAGGTAATGAACTACTAGTTCCTCATCGGTTGGATGAAACCGAAACCCGGGGGGGAGATGCGGATGGCCCGGTCCTATGCTCGAATCCCCCATGTTTTCCATCAACTTGATCTTTTCCAATTTCAACAAAACAAGAAAGAAAAGAAAATGAGTTTTTCTTACGAAAACTGTCTCATGATCCTCAAGAGAAAATGTAGGAAGAGGATTTGAGATATTTGAGAGTGAATGTGTATCATATAAGATGCAAGAAGAAATAGGTGTTAGGTTTGTGTGTGCATACGAGTACCGAACTGGGTCCCTCGACGAGAAAATGACACGTGGCTAATCGTGGGGCCCAGAATAAGCGGCCAATGGGCATTAAATTTTGGAGAAAAGGCAGGTTTTTTTCGAACTGCCTTATGTCATGCCTTTCTTATGCTACACATCACGCACATACCTCATTTTGGTTTTTCTTTTGTAGAACATTTATATAAATGTGGGAGAATTCTGTCTACTAAATATTTTTGTTTTCTTCTTAAATATATGCAATTACTACTGTGTTTTTCGTTTGTTAATCAAACTCTTATTAACTTATGACAGTAGAAAGAGAATCCAAATACTCGACAGTAACTCATACCTTTAATAACTTTTTAAAACTAATTACCATATAATGTTTCCATTTCTTTCTCGATATCTGTGATAATCAAGAACTTCAAATTGTTTTATACAAGCTGCCTTCCAAAGGCAATGGTGGTGAACTGATCATATGGGTGCCTGGTGGTAGCAAATGAGAAATCGTTTATGAAGTCTAGGTCTCAGCATCAGCGTCTCATCTTTATGTCTCTTTCAATCTTCTCATACATTAGTATAAATAATCATTTGGTTTTTGATTCTGGCATAAGATCAAACATTCGTCAGTAAAGTCAAATTTTGTTTACCGTATAATAATTAACCATTAGTTTCTATATTAAAAAAGGTGTGAAGGACCTTTGGAACGTTCCTTGTGAAAAAAAAAATTATTATGGCGGTAACAAATGGTTGGAAAGCAGTTTAAAATATTTTATCCTACTTTTTCTTCTTAAGATTTCTTATTCAAAATTGATCATCCATAAAACATTCGACGTGGAAACAATTAGCAACAGTTTTTGGTAAGATGTTAAATCATTATGTGCCAGATTTATTAAAAGTTAGCTATATGTTTGTAGTCTAATGTGAAAAAAAAAATATCGGGAACCATTACAGTCTTGCCACTATGCAAAATCTTTAAAAAATATGCCACAATTTTAACATTTAAGCCAAAAAAAAAAAATAATGCTGCAATTTTATTAAAATATGTTATAAACTATTTTACGGCTAAAATCCGTAGTATATTGGTTTTTATGTTGTAGAATTATATTAACAATATACGATATTACAAATTTTAATTTTTAATTAAGCACTCACTATCTTTCCATATATATACATGTTATTAATTTTGTTGATCATTTCAAACTTAAGAAAATTAAATATTCAAAATTATGTTATATGTCAATTTCCCAAAAAATATCTAAATATACTAATGTCATATAAAAAACTCTTATCTTTTTTCTTCATCATATAGTTAAATCTTATCTAACGTATTAATTTATTAATTTTCTATGCTGATACAATTTTTTAAAATTTAGCGCATTACATTCGTAGCATTTAGGAGTCCTATATTAAAATAATTGTTTCTGCGATGGTGACCGTTTCAAAGGACGTGTTACTTCTTCTTTTCTTCACCGGATGTTTTACTAACAAAGGAAAAGTATATATGTAAGTCTATATAATGAATGTATTATAAATTTTCTCTAAACTATTCAACGACTAAAATCTGATGTATAGTAGTGTCTTTGTTGTAGAACTATAGTAACGAAAAATGATATTTACAATTGTTTTTTAAGAAATCAAATATACATATCATGTTGATAATTTTGTTGGTCATTTGAAATATGAGAAATTTAAATATATTCACAAATATGTAATATGTCAATTACACAATAATATCTAAAAAAACTAATGTTATACTCTTAAAACTTTATCCTATGTATGAAATTATTATTTTTCTAGTAAAAATTCTTCAAAACCTAAATGACAAACCTAACTTAATGTATTTTGAGCTTTACTAGACTAACCTTACAAAATTGGTCTAATACCATTTGATTTAGATGTTGAATATTATTGCGAGAATACCATTCTGGTAAATAATAATTACATAATTTTGATTTTTTTTTAATTTTAATAAAATCAAACAAATATAAATACAACTTTATAGAAAAAAACATAAAACTCGGTTAAGAAAAAAACCCTAATTTTGCGGGAGAGGCGATTCTACGACCGTGAAAATGACCGCGATTCTACAATCGTGAAAATGACCGCGATTCTACGACCGTGAGGCGATTTCGGTGGTGGTGAAGAACTTGCCGGCGATAACTTGGCAGCGTCCCTCTTTTCGCAACTTTCTCCTTCCTTCTCCCTTTTTTTATCTCTTCACAGCTTCCCTCTTTTCACAGATCCACACAGATCTTGGCTCTCTCGCCGTTCTGAAACTTGTCCGGATTAGTTTTTTTCCCATATATCCCTATTTTCTTCTTTCTTCTTCGTCTTCCTCTTTCCCTTTTTTTTTGTTTGTGTTAAGTTTGATTAAGAGCGTGTTTGGCGGATGATAAGTTTTACTGTTGGTGCTGGAGATCTCGGAAATATTTGGCACGACTCTTAAGCGGCATTCTTGCCGCTTCGCACAACACCGCATGAACAGACATTGTTTCGATGAAATGGTGGTGTTGCGGAGGTTGTCGGCGGCGTAAGTTTTTCTGTAAAATCGTAACCCTAATTTTTTTGTTTCAGGTAAATTTGGTAGATATGTTTGGAAAATGATATTGTATTTTTTTGTTGTAAAGTTCATAACGTGTGATGGTAGATTTATTTGAAAAACGGTATTTAGTTTGGTAGATTACTAGTTATTTGATGGTAGATATATTCCGAAAATGATATGTGGTTTGGTAGATTTATTAGTTATTTGATAATAAATTTATTTAAAAAATGATGTCGCTTGGTAGATTTATTAGTCATCTGATGATAGACTTATTTGTAAAACAATTGGTTTGATAGATTTATTAGTCATTTGATGGTAACTTATTTGAAAAATGATATGTGTTTGGTAGTTTTATTAGTTATTTATGGTAGATTTATCAATCGTATATATTTGAATTTTATATATGAATGATGGCATTTGTTTGTTTTTCTCTGACAGATTATGGGCTTTGCAATGACGAACATGTCTCCGATGGGATATCCAACATCGATCCGACGTGTTCTACTATGAATTATAGATTTGCACTTGGTAGATTTGTTTTGAAATGATGGTAGATTTATTATTGAATTGATGATTATCTATTTGAATTTGTACAAAGGATAATTATATTTTAAATGATGGTATCTTTGTTTTCAAATTATATTTGTCGCAAAACATTGACCCAAACATTTCATCTTTTTACCACATTTGTTAGTAATGTTATTATTCAATTCAGTTTATTTTCTTTACTTTCATTATGATGTATATGAATGAAATTTTAACCAAAACACATGACTAAAGTGATTTGACATTGTGATGTTCAACGGTTTATGTAAATAGAGTTAAATATAACAAAATATTCACAAATAAAAATCAAAAGATCATAAGTTAAGAGATGGTTATTACAGACAAAAACAAAAAGATATAAGATAAATGTTTAAGTGAACTAATATGACATATATGTTCACGTTAATATGAAAAGTAAAGTTATCTTAGAGGAAAGATATAGTGATCATAGAAAAAAGATTCAGGCAATAAATTTTTGACCATTGATTGTGGCGTCTATACCATAAAGAGTAAAGACCAATAATCATCTGTGATCGAATCACACTTTACCGGCGTAATCTCAGCAAATTTGTGCAAAGAAAACGTCAACGATAACAAAACCAACTCAAATATAACCATGGAAGAAGTCTAGCATACGTACGAAACCTGTTTAACATACAACACCCCAAAACAAGTCTACCACACCTCTGATTTTTTCGTAGAATTTCAGAATACATTTAGGACAAATAAGTAATTTCAATTGAAAAAGTCAAATATCGACTAAAAACATATAACTAAGTCAACCAAAAGTAATGTAAATAAGTCTATCATAAGAAAAAATTTACCATCAAGCACAATATATGTATACCATATCGAGGTTATCTGAGTAAATACAAAAGTAATTTAGTCTACCACATGAAGCTCAATATAAGTATACCAAATGTGCAATAACTTTACCAATTATTTTAAAATCTACCACAACTACAAACAAATCTACTACATTTTATAAGTCTACCTTACATAACAGTAAATCTACCACTTAAACGGAATGAAATTACCAAATTTTTACTTGAATTTAAATCTACCACATTACTTATAAATTTAGCACAAAAACGATAAATCTACCAACTGGATTTAACTCTACATTTTTCATAACTAATCTACCACAATAGGGATAAATCTACAGTCACGTTATCTTAAATTTTGGTGAATAAATCTACCACCAAAAGAAATAAGTCTACTATTTCGGATATTTAATCTATTTCCATTGTCAACAAATCTACCAACAAAGTCAACTATGCGAGTAAGTCAACGAATTCCTTAACAAGTCTACCAACACTTTAACAATTGTGCCATACATGACAACAAATCTACCGAAACTTAACAAATATATTGTGTCGTTAACAAAACTTTACCAAGAAAAGTTTACCAACATTTTATAAATCTATCAACTCTCGAACAAATCTACAATCGTCGTAACAAATCTTCCATCCAAAAAATTGCGTTGACCAACATCTGATAAGTCTACTGTCAAAGTCTAGTAGACTTATCGTTTTTAAAGCGCTATTTTTTGCGTACGTGACACAAAAAAAAAGTAATAAAATTTTTGTAATTAGGTTTTTTTTACCAAAGACGAAAAAGTATTTTTAGGTTTGCTAAATTAATTTTGTAATAAAAATAAAAGTATGTCAAAAAACAATAAAACATACATTTAAGGTTAATATAGTAATCCTTTTCTTTTTTTATATGCTGGATACAGTTTTTTTATTTAGTGCATTAAAACGTAGTATTTAAGAGTCCTATTTGAATATTTGTTTCTGGGATGGTGACCGTTTCAAAAGATGTTTTACTTCTTATTTTCTTCACCGGATGTTTTACTAAGATAGGATTGTTGACAAAAAAAAAAACAGACCAATACAAAAAACGAAGGGAAAGTAATGAGAATACTTTTTGATATAAAAGTATCTATGTACGTCTTTGAAGGTTTTTTGTTGTTTCTTCAAACTACATGAGAGAAGGAAAAAAAATGCTTGCAAGTCAAAGAAAACAAAAAAACTCACTCGTTCCAAATATATTTGATCCCCAATCTTTTCAAATAAGCACCGAGTATTTTCTTGAAGTCCAAATGTTAGAAAAAGAACTTTGAATTGTTCCTTGAATGAGAACAACCAATCTTCTCCTGCAACATATAGAAACCATAACTAAAACCTATTATAAATATAAACACATGTACCAGTTCTAGCCAATTTAAATCCAATTCTTCTTCCACAACTATTTTCTTTATAAATCCAATTCTTTTCATCTAAAATTAATCACTCTTTCGATTGATCTAATCATTTAATTTCTTTCTCGTCATTTCAAATATTCCAAATGCCACGTTTGTTAGCACCTTGTTCAAAACTCGCATACACAAGATACATAAGAAAACCAACCATACCTAACCCAAACCGATGTGATATTTTCATCAACCATCGAGGGATCGATACAAAGAAGACTATCTCAGGTCTATTATATGATCATTTCAATAGACTGCGTTTGAATTCTTTCTTGGATAGTAAGAGTTTAAAGCCCGGGGACAGACTTTTCGTTGAGATCAATGCAGCAATCAAAGAATGCAGTGTTGGTGTCGCTGTTTTCTCTCCTCGTTACTGCGACTCTTACTTCTGTCTCCATGAACTCACGAAGCTTATGGAGAACAAGAAGAGAGTCATCCCTATCTTTTGCGATATCAAGCCATCAGAACTCTGCGTTAAGGACGACGGGACATGTTCAGATGCCGAGATCGAGAGGTTTCAATCGGCTCTCGAGGAAGCAAAATATACCGTAGGACTCACGTTTGATACATCTAATGGGTATGCTCTTAGTCAATCATATTCATTGTTTTATAACGTACATCAAAACTTAACACTCTGTGGTTTATAAACGTTACATGTAACTAACAAATCTACATTCTCACACTTGAAAGTAGGTTATCATGACACGACAATAACCTTATTACAAATCCATTAGACTACGTACGGATCAGTACAAGAATCTAGGAAATCATAAATACAAATAAAATAAAGAAAGATTGGTATTTTCATATACAATTTAGAAACTAAGTTCATAAAAACACATGAAATATGCACTCATGTGATTCAAAGTACTAAGTACAGTATTTCACTAGTAAACCTACAAAGTTAGAAACATTCAAACAATAGTATGGTGATTTTATGATTAATTTTTTTTTTGGTAGCAATTAGTGTTTTGCTAAAACTTGGTGATTCAATTTTATGTTTAAGTTCTATTTTTTTTTTTGAATTTAAATTATGTCTTCATTGGCCGTCGAAGTGACGGATCTAAAACTTTTTTTTATAAAGGAGATTTTCAATAAAAAGACATATTTTTTTTACAATTGAGACACTTTTTCTATAAATGCATTAAAATAATATATTAAATCATATTTATTTAAAGTTTATTTTATAAAAAACAAAAAAAAAAGTAGGGAGTACGTGTACCGACACACCTGCATCCGTTCCTGCGGGCGTCGACTAATTGTTTTTTTTTTTTTGTTGTAACAAAACATCGACTAATTGTTATTTATACAGCAGATAAATATCTCTGATTAATTAGCAAGGCTAGGCGTGAAAAGAATTGAAACATTGGCCTACGGGCCTATTATTTTGAAAAAAATTGAAAGATCCAATTTATACTAATTATTAATATCATTAATTATTAAAATTGAAAGATTTAGATTTAGTTTGAAAACAAAAATGCTTTTCTTTAATAAAATTAGCAACTAAATTAATAACACAATACAATACTAAGACAACATACATAGCCATCTAAACAGTTCAGCAAATTGATCTTTTTTATATATAAAATTACTTTTTCAACTCTTCATTTTTTTGTCGAATTTTTGAAAACTTCTTACTCCCTTTTTCTTCTTTATAAACAACCACATAATCAAAAACTTTTTGCCAATTGTTAAATTTTTTTAATTACAATTTTGTTTCATCTAATATTAGAATTAATTTAATTTGTGATTTGTTAGTCTGATTTTTTTTTTTGTTTAGGATGATAATTGTTAATACTTATTTTATATGAATTTGAAATGATGATATTAGTATTTCTTTTATATGAATTAGATTAGTTTTATATGAATACAACATGAAAATGGTTAATTAGAATTTTTTAACATACAAAAAAAGATTATGGTCTTTTTTTAAACATCGCCTACGGGCTTCGTATATCTGGGCACGACTCTGTTAATTAGTTAGGAATTTAAGTATGGTTTTTTTTAAAAAAAAAAATTTAAGTATGGTTTATATGATAGTTATAGGAAACCATACACATATTAGCTTAATGAAAACAACAAGCTTGTATCTCTTTATTGAATGCTAATTGCTAATTTAAATGCGACTGATTTTTTATATCATTTCTTAATTAGTTTCTTAAAATCTATTATGCAGAGACTGGTCAAAGTTCTTGGCCATGGCATCGGATGCAGTCACGAAGAACTTGTTAGACGTTGAAGAGGAGAGACTAAGGAGCATCAACCCCACGTACAAGCACATATCTGCTTAGGTCAATCAACAGTTCAATAATAAGCGTGTCTTCTCTTCTATTTATTTATTACAGAAGTTGATACTTAACTAATTATTTTATGATATGGACTAATCATTTTTTAATTAACTTCATTCTTGTAACTTGTAAGGTATTTAACTGTGAGATTCTTATGTCACAAAGTGGACTCTTCTTGTAACCAATGATCTCAGAAAATATAATAAACTGAATAAATGTAACATTTACCATTTTTTCAATATGTTCGTCTCAATACAATTTTATTTTTATATCTGGAATAAGCAAGACTCAGTATGCAATTCAATTTATGTTCAAACGATTAAATTTCATATATTTTGTTTTACTGTTTTTCCTAAACTAAAATATAATTTACTATCTACTAAAACATAATTCTACAATTGATAAAATAATATGCATATTACAATTGTCTAAAACATTTTCTTAGAGGAAATTGCTTCCAAAAAGTATCATAATATCTTCTTCAACTTTTCAACATCACTAATAAATAGCCATAATATCTTCTAAAATTTGAATTTCTGAACATGTATTGTTTTTGTTCATCCAAATATTATAATTGGTTAAATATTATTCTATTGCAAATTCATAAGTATCATTTTCACTAATGGATTTGACTTATTTTTTTGTTAGCAACGCCTGAACAAAATTTTTAAAAATTTGGGAAATAATTTCGGTTGTCTCTTCTTGAATGACATTTTTCTTTTTGGACATCCCTTCTTGATGAACATTAACGTCCCAAGATAGAAATATAGAATCCAAAGCATTCAACTTTTTTTTTGTTTGGAATCAGATTATCTTATTTACCTTATAACCTTCTAAAATTTCACATTAAAATCTCCAACGATAGCACATTACATTCATTTTTTTATTTATTGATTAATTAATATTTTTAACAACCTAATAAATTTTCAAAGTTCTGACAATATTAATTTCTTAAATTCAAAATCTTATAGTTAATAGAAAAAACGTTTTTTGTTTAGTATTTCTCATCTATACAAAACACATCACTACTAATTCAATTTTTCAATCAGGTAAGTGTATAAGAAACTTTATAATTAATTATGTACTTAAAAAATCGTCTTCTTCTAATTTGTCGGCAACAAATAAAATCATTAAAGCCGAATTTTCTACATTTGAATGAGATTGTGATCTCGTAATGCTTTTTCATGTTGACTTTTTTTCTTCTCTTTTGATATGATATTTTTGTTTAACGACTAGATTAGATGAATTAAGAAAAAATAATAATAACGAAAGAAAAAAAAAACGACGGCGAGGAGGAGCATAAAAATTATTGATGGGGACCACTAAATAATATTGGTCAGTCACTAATGGTTAACCCAAAACCATGTGCCCATGCTTAACTCATCCTTTGCTGTCACCGTAAGCTTCGAATCCACCCACACACAAAAAAAACAAAAAAAAAATTAAGTCAAAATGTCTCATTCACGTCTTCCCTCTTTTATCTTCTTCTTCTTCTTCCTTTCACCTTCTTCATCAGAGAAGAAGAAGAAGAAGACTTCACTGATTCTCTTTTTCTCTCTCTCCTTCGGAATCCATGGATTCCAAAGCTATGCTCGATTCCGCTTTGTTTCAACTCACCCCTACTCGTACCAGGTCGGTCTCACTTCTTCTTCTTCTTCTGATTATGATTATGCTTGACGATTGATTGATCTTGAATAGTTTTTCTGTGTTTGTGTTGGATTTTGAAGATTCGATCTGGTGCTTTTCTGTGGGAGTAAGAAGGAGAAATTGGCTTCTGGGATTTTCGAACCGTTCATCTCTCATCTTAAATTCGCTAGAGATCAGATCTCTAAAGGCGGCTACTCTATTTCTCTTCATCCTCCGACTTCTCACTCTTCTTGGTTCACCAAATCCACTTTTGATCGGTAATTTCAATTTCTGCTCTCTGAGTTTTTTTTTTATGGCGAATTTTGATCTACCTGGATTTTGCTTAAACAATTTCCTCTATTCGAGTAGAGAATCTGTGCATATGTCAACTTTATTCTCCCAAATGCAACAAATAATGGCTTTTTTTTGTATGATTCGATCTACCACTGTGAAAGATCTTGATACTGTTTAGACAATGTGGATGCTGCTGCTTAGTGACTGATTTGAGTTAACTTGTTGATGTGTTGCTGATTCCTTTGTTTTGCAGGTTCGTGAGATTCGTAAACACGCCTGCGATTATCGAGAGATTTGCTACTCTGGAGAAAGAGATCTTGCAGATTGAGCATTCCATTCAAGCTAATGAAATTGCCAATGCTGAGCAACTACAAGACGGTATGCATTTCCTATGGCGTGGAGTTAACTTACTAAAAGCTAGCTCGTAATGGCAAATGTGGTTTCAACAGTGCTCTTGACATAAATCTTAACACTGTTTTGCTTATAATCTGCAGGGAGCAATCTAAGAAAGTCAATCGAGTCCTCCAAGGTAACTTGTGCTTTCAAATAGTGCTGGTTGTTATTCAGTAATTGGTTTTGTCGATTGAGTCTTTTCCTCTCAATGTATTACACAGAAGGAATCTGAGAACGGCAATGAGGTTGCAGGAGAGGAAACCTCAAAGTAACTCTCCTACCTATGGAACTATTCAAATTTCTTTTGACGCAGCATGCAACTTATGGTTGACTAATTGCGTTTTTTGTTGTTCTGACTATTTATCAGGATTCAGCTTCAACGTCTTCTTGAAACTCGAAGAACATTACTTAGGAGAGAGCAAGCAATGGCCTATGCACGAGGGGTTGTTGCTGGTTATGAAATTGATAGTATCGATGATCTCATACTGTTTGCTGATGCTTTTGGGGCGTCAAGGTTAAGGTATGTAAAATAAGTGCTTAACCATTTGTTCGGCTTTTAACATTCATCCATTTCTTGTGCTATAAAAGATCATTCTGCAAGTTTTTTAACAGTCATTTTCATCGTTTATGCAGGGAAGCATGCGTAAAGTATAAGGAACTATGGAAGAAGAAGCACGGAGACGGGCTTTGGATGGCTGAGTTAGCAGCTGTGAAAGCAATTGCTCCAGCGGACATGTCATTATTGGGTTCCTCAGGGATTATCCTCACCAATGAAGGTGCTTCTCTATCACTAAATGGGACAGACTCTTCTAATGCAAGCTCTGAAAACAAAGGTACGTTGTAGTATCTGATCTCAGAAATACTAACTCTTTTACTGCTTGAACCAGCTAAATGTCCTTTTCAAATGTTGTAGATGACAAGTCGGCTCATATGGACCAACATCATCCTGGCGTTCCAAACTTTCAAGCACCAATGGGATGGCCGAACCATATGCCTCAGTATTTCTACCCGCCTCCGTACCAAGGCTATCCGTACCCTCCAATGCAACCTATGCCAAATCAAAACCAAGGAAACATGCCATGGCCTTCAAAGGGCAAAACTTCCAAGAAGAAAGGGAAAGGGGATTCTGATGCAGATGGGTCTAGTGGATCAAGTGAGTCTAGTGAATCTGACTCTGCCAGTGATGATTCTGCTTCATCTTTGGAAGATCAAGGTAGAAGACACTCTTCTCATACGGGTAAAAACTCCTCTCGTCGGTCAAAGAAAAACCGGAAGAAATCATCTAAAACTGTTATCATCCGTAATATCAACTACATAACCCCTGAGGGAAGAAATGGCGACGTGGAGGGGAATGAGTTTACGGAAAACGGTTCCATCAAAGAGACTGTAGATGCTGCGGTTGGATTTCTCAAGGGAGAAGTTTCTGGTGATGAAATTCTGAAAAGCTCAGCTGAAGGAAAACGAAGCAATGAGAATTGGGATTCGTTTCAGAACATTCTTATGAGGCACGACGATGGCTCAGATATGCATTCAATGGATGTCGCCAGTGAGGAACATTTCGATCTCAGAGGCTCTAGTCTTGCCGCGAATTCTAAAAGTTTGCAAGCAAATAACAGTGCCTCGGGTGATTCCATCATCGTAACTCATAAACACATTGAAGATGGAGGAGGAGCGACTTTTGATCATTTTGAGAGTGAGGACGGTGCTCGTAGGCTTCCAAGAACGAGGGACTCAACTGAAGAATGTATGTTACTGCTAAAAAGATCAGAAATGTTAGGAGATGAAAGCAAAGACTTGTATAATGCGACAAGAGGTGACTCATTGGTGAAGAAGTCAGGGAGTGGAGAGGATTGGTTTACCTCTGATCATCTTGCAGGGAAAACTGAAAGCAACTACGGGAGGATATCATTTGATGAGAGTTGCATTTTGACTTCGCAAGGCTCTGATAAGAGCAAGAAACAAGAATTCGTCGATGATTCATTCATGGTCCATTCATCATCACTCACTGGTGATGATCTTTATGACTCTCGGTGGAGACCAGACATGTCTGCAGATATTGTTTTGGCGTCAGACATTGAAAACGGTCAAGCGAATGAGAAGCGTGAAATGTCTGGCTCATGGGAACCAAATGATCTTTGTATGATTCTTGAACGCCATTCAGGAGACTCGTTGGCTAATAATGATTACTCGATAGACTTCTCTGTTGAAGCGAATGCAAGGCTATCCAGTAACGGAACGGCACAGGAGAAAGAAGACAAGACCGTCTCAAGCGGCGAGAAGAAAAACAGTGCTAAGAACCCGGAAACACGAAAGTCTAGAACTCCAAGTAGAACCAGAGCTGAAACCATGTCCAAGACTGTAAAGAAACCAACAGTAGCTAGCAGAACAATGGCACAGAAGAACAAGTTTGAAAAGGTAAAATAAAAATCTTATCATTGCATTTACTTTAGCGGTTTTTATCCGACAATTGAATTAGTTTAAATTCACGGGAAGGGTTTTC